TGCTGTTGACATCGCCAGACAATTTTACGGAAATATTTGGGGTGAAGAATCCTATTTAATGTTAGTGAAACCTGCTCACTACATTACCAAGGACTTTTTAAAATCTGTGTGTTTAAACCATGTACTCGATGAAGTAAGAAACACATTTTGTACTACCAATGGTGTCTTAGGTATTGAATACTATGAATATTTGTAAATTAATTAGGATGTTCAATAAAATGTTATTTTATTTTACAATGATCTCATAACTGTCTCCAGGTTCAGACCTTATTTAAAAGAATTAATCTGTAATGATTACACTTACATAAATTTTAAAATACCTATTGAATACAAACCTATTGATTTTTTATAGAGTATAAATATGGTTGTTCTTAAACATATATATCATTACTTGTTCAACCTTTGAGATGTTAAGTAGCATTCATTTTCTCTCTTCTACATGTTTTAGACCTATTTTCTAAATCTTATATCGGCAAGTTATTAGAAACTCTGGTATTATTTCCCTGTTCTAGTTAAATATATATAAATGAATATCAGTGTACGTTTAGATCATAACAACTGTTGCAATGAACGCAGCTCTGTCTCAGACCTATCGGGATCCACAGGTCCCCGCAAGTTTCGGGGGTGTTGCTGCTTTGCATCGTGCTTTAAAAGGTCGCGTAAAAACAAAAGACATCCAGAAATGGTTGCAAACCAAGGATTCTTATACTTTGCACAAGCCTTTGAGGCACAAGTTTCCCAGGAACAGAGTCATCGTAGGAGGCTTAAACGAGCAATTTCAATCTGATTTAGTGGATATGCAATCCCTGGCCTCTTTTAATGATGGATATAAATATTTGCTGACCTGTATAGACATCCTTTCCGAAATACGCTTGGGCTATCCCTCTCAAAGATAAAACATCTGTGTCCATCCAATCCGCTTTCGAAAAGATATTTTCGGAACGTACACCCGAATCATTACAAACAGATGCAGGAAAAGAGTTTACCAATAAACAAGTTCAAAATTTTTTGAAAATGAGAAACGTTCGCTTTTTCACGACACATAATACAACCAAAGCTTCTGTCGTAGAACGATTTAATCGAACTCTAAAAACAAAAATGTGGAAATACTTTACCGAAATGAATACACGAAAGTACATTGATGTGATTGATAAATTGATATCCAGTTATAACCATACATGGCATCGTAGTATTAAGACAGAACCTGTATCCGTTACGCTAAAAAATCAAGAAAAAATCTGGAAAACGTTATACGGTCAGCAACCAGTTCAAAACACTATTTCTTCGGATTTAAAGATTGGAGATACGGTACGCATCAGCCGAGAAAAAATGGTCTTTGAGAAAGGATACGAACAAAATTGGACCCGAGAAATTTTTACAATCTATAAAATTATTCGACGGATTCCTGTTGTCTATAAACTGAAAGATCTAGTAGGAGAAGTTATACAAGGAACTTTTTACAAACAAGAACTTCAAAAGGTTTCGGACTCTGGTTATTATCCCGTAGAAAAAGTTTAAAAAAGAGGAAACGTCGCGGGAAAATAGAATATTTTGTGAAATTTCAGGGGTACCCCGAAAGCTTCAATGCTTGGGTGGATGATGTGAGAAGGGTATAAAAGGCCCGTACATTCTGCTTATCTGTCATTTGAACGAAACATGTCTTTCTTTATCACACTGATCAGCGACAGCTCCATGCGTTTTTTTCCAGACAACAAAATATCACAATTTACCACTCAGCTTCCTACTCCGATGGATTTAAATAGTCAGTGGGAGTTATCTCTTGTGGACTTTATTTACCCTCACACATGGTATAACGTCCGAAAAGACAATAATTTATTTGGATTTGATTTGGGTGATGGAAAATTGGAAGGTCGAAGAGTGCCTCCAGGATGTTATGAAACGATACCAGATTTATTAAAAGCCATGAAAATACCTTCCCATAAAAATAAGATTGAATTCAGTTATCATCCTGTTCACGAAAAAAGTGACCATTAAGACCGACGAAAACTGCAAAGTCATTCTTCACGAAGGATTAGCGGAGCTTCTAGGGTTCGAGCCGGGTGTTTACAAAGGATTGGAACAAAGTCCTTTTGTAGCCGATCCCAAAGTATCTTTTCCTGTCATGTATGTGTATTGCGATCTCGTAGAGCCTCAAATTGTGGGAGATGTACAAGCCCCGTTGTTAAAAATTGTCACCGTAGAAGGAAATGACGGAGACATCATAAACGCTCATTACCCCCGGCCCTTTTACTTGCCAGTTATCCGTCAACATTTTCAGACTATACATATTGACATAAGACTTCACTCTGGAGATTTAGTACCATTCGAAAGAGGCAAAGTATTTCTTGTGTTGCATTTTCGTCTGAGACAAATTCTATAAAAGAAGCCTTCATCTGCAAATTGATTTCATTTGGATTGTGTATGCAAGATTAGAAGCATCAAACATGCGGGTGCCTTATACGTGTTGCACGAAAAAATTTGAAGATTATTATTTAGCTCAAACTGGAAATGGATTACCTTACTATCAAGGAACCATTTTACAGAAAGGTTATGGTATTGGTGGATTTTTTGCAAAGCTGTTTCGCAGTGCTATGCCTTTTTTGATGAGTGGAGCCAAAACAGTTGGAAAAGAAGCTTTGCGGACTGGAACACAAATTGCAAACGACGTATTGTCGGGAGAAAATTTTAAAGTCTCCCTCAAAACCAGATCTAAAGAAGCTGGCAAAAAATTAGCGAGGAAAGCAGTTCAGAAAGCAGACGAGATGATTGGTCACGGAAGGTTTAAAAGGAAGCGCAAAACCCCCAAACACTTCATTTCGTCTAAAGCCAGGAAGGTGCAACGACGTGATATTTTTGACTCGTAATGGCTTTTCTGTTAAAAGATTCTCCGGAATGCGCAAAATCCGAATTGGATTTATTTTCGTTACCTCCCACACAAACAGTTATCGAAAAAGGTCAGTGGGTTGAATTTCATCCATTAGCCAATGTATCGGAAGGAAGTCCTGTCGAGTTCAATGTTTCTGGAAGCGGAGACGACTACCTAGACTTATCACAGACACAACTCTACGTCAAAGTGAAAATTTTAAAAAATGATGGCAAGCCAATCACGGCTGAAAGTAAAGTGGGACCTGTCAATCTCTTTTTACATTCTATGTTTTCTCAAGTGGATATTAGCTTAAATGAAAGACTCGTTTCCACCAGTAATAACACGTATCCTTACAGAGCCATGATAGAAAAATTATTGAATCATGGTTTTGATACGAAAACGTCTCAACTGTCATCAGAATTGTTTTTCAAAGATACAGCAGGACGTATGAACGTTTTTGATATTCAAGACACTCAGCCGAATGAAGGATTCAACCAACGAGCAGAATTGTTTAAACTGAGTGCTTCGGTCGATATGATTGGCCGATTGCACTTGGATATGTTTCATCAGGAAAGACTTTTGCTGAATATGGTGGATATGAAAATTAAACTCATACGCAGCAAACCAGAATTTTGTTTATTGGGCGAAGGTGAATTTAAAGTTTTACTCGAACAAGCTTCATTGTTTGTACGCAAAGTGAGAGTCAGTCCAGGTGTTGTGCTAGGACATGCCAAAAGCCTAGAAAAATCAACAGCCAAATATCCCATTAATAGAGTGCTCTGCAAAGCCTATTCCATTCCAACGGGAAATATGAGTTTTATTCAAGACAATATTTTCATAGGTCAAATGCCTAATCGTATTGTGGTGGCATGTGTCGATAATGATGCCTTTAACGGAAACTATAAAAAGTCTCCTTTTGAATTCAAGCATTATAATATGAACTTTATCGGCGTTTATGTGGACGGTCAACCGGTACCTCATAATCCTCTTCAGCCTAATTTTGACAAAAATCATTTCATACGAGCTTATCAGAATTTATTTATGAATGCAGACGACAGAGGACTTTACCTTTCAAGATCAGAATTTTCAAAAGGATATTCCTTATTTCGCTTCGACCTGTCACCTGACCTTTGTGATGGCTCTCATTTAAATCTAGTTCGACACAGCAACTTAAGATTAGAAATAAAATTTGGGACTCCCTTACAACAAACTGTTTCGTTATTAGTGTACGCTGAATTTGAAAATTTGATAGAAATCAATAAAGCTCGAAATATTCTGTACGATTTTGGAAACTGATGAATTCATCACAGATTCATCAAATCTTATCTCGAGATCCTATTTCTTTGAGATATTATGCGGGTGTTTTTCCTTGTGATAAAATACCTGCGATTCAAAGTTTTCCCTGTGCACTGGTGCTCAATACGGATAAACATGATGAAAAAGGAACTCATTGGCTAGCTGTCTACATTGCAGACAAACAGACTCTGGAATTTTTTGACTCTTATGGACTCCCGCCTGAAGTATATGGAAAAGATATCACATCCTTTGTCAAGAAATATCGTAATGTTTGCTGGAACAAGGTTTCGCTTCAGAGTTTAACTTTAATGTATGTGGACATTATTGTATTTATTTTATTATTAAACGCTGTCAAGGACTCTGTATGGAACTCATTGTATCACCCTTAGATGGAAAGAATCATGATTTCCAAATATTTCAATTTGTCAAAAAAAAAAAAAGATATGGTGTAAACATGATTTTTAAAAAATAAAGTTGTTTTAATTTGTAAAAATGTCTCTTGTGTTTCTTGTTTCTACACTTATTTAAACAAAATGAATAAATGTCTTATGCAAAAGGATTTTCGGTAAAGTATAAAAGTCAGTGTTTTCTTAACATGCTGTCATTTCCAAAAATGGAACTGCCCAAGTTCGTACATCCTTCTACTTGTCTTCTGAGCGGACCTACCGGTTCGGGTAAAACGGTTTTTGTGAAGAAATTGATAGATCATAAAATGTTCCATCCCATGCCGACCAATATTATTTATTGCTACGGAAGTTATCAACCTCTTTTTAATTCCATGAAAAAACGTAAATTTTGAAGAAGGATTACCATCTAACCTGCAGACTCTCCAAAATGCTTTAATTATCATAGACGATTTAATGTCTGAATTAGCAAGTGATACTCGCTTAAGCAAACTTTTTACAAAAGGAAGTCATCACCGAAACCTTTCAGTCGTTTTTATAACGCAAAATCTTTTTCACCAAGGCAAGGAATGAGAAATATTCATTTAAATTCTTATTATAGTCTGGCACCGTATGCACATAGGTAAGTTGTCCTTTGTTTATGCTCATACCCCATCTGAAAAACAAAATCCAACATAAATCATAACGAATTAAAAAAATAAAAATGTTTACCAAAAAGTTAAGTACAAAAGAAATCATCTTACCTGCCCCAGAAACGTTTTAGGGCCAACTTGGCAACTTGTCGACGTCCAGGGTTCCTGGAAATCTTTCTTTCGTCCAACTTGACGCCCTCTCTTTCTTCATACTGGCGAATATACCTTAATTTGTCTTCAGACGTCACACACTCCGAAGGCCATCCGCTACTTTCCTGTGTGATCTTCAGAAAGAGATTAAAGTAGGAACGAAACAGGGAAATAGACGATTCTTTGAAATGATACACTTCGTAAATCTGGAAAATAAAGAATAAATTTCAGTTATGACAAAAGATTTGAAATAAATTTGGGTTATGACAAACAATTTAAATAATCTTTAAATACTTACATCTGTGACGCGGTAACCTTTCTTTATCGCCAGCTTGACTTCTTCCGATACCCACGTTCCGACAAGAGTTCTTTCGTCGTCTGTGTGGGTACAGGAAGACTGACACTGTAGAAAGGCGCAAGTCCGACACAGGGGGAACATCAGTTTCTTTCCGGCACCGATATGGCAGATACTGGAAGATATAGGTTTCCGAGGAGGAATGACACACGGCATTGAATGATGCCAAAGTAGTGTTCTATATCACCGAAGCTTTCCGTGATGATTTCCAGAAGTCCCACGGGGGTAGACGCAATATTTGTTCACCTGTGAATGAAAACAAAAAGTCAGAAAAACACATCACAAAAAACATACATAAATATCAGAAAAACACATCATCCATGAAAAGGTTTTAAAATAATAAAAAAGTACGAACCCATGGATAGAGCGATGTGAAATCCACGAACAATTTGAGGGCATTGGTCCGTCCTCTGAAAAATGACTCGCGAGGATTGAGCCGGTCTCTCAAATGGTGTTGATCTAGGAAAGCTTTGGAGGTTTGGATTTTTCTCTTTTTCTCTCTGAAACTCGTGCTCCCACATTTCTATGACGTGGAAACCCTGTTTTCGTGTCGTCTCTTCCGTTTCCTCCCTCAACGTTCCCATGGAAATCCCTTTTAGCGGATGAATGATATCCCCGTCATAGCACGAACTACACCCATGGAAGAAACAGCCCTAAAATAATAAAAATATATTAATAGTGTTCAACATGTAAATTAAACATTAAAAGTGTAAAATTATTCAAAAGATTCACATAGGAAAGGAATGGTTATATTTTCTTACCTGAAACTGATAGACGGTTTGTGTTGCTTGCCAGAAACCGTCTACCGAGATTCCGGCGATTCTGTATTCTCCCGAACCTTTCAACGCATGTTGAATGGCAATGCCTTCCGAAGCAGCAACAAAGTCCAACCACCGGATCGAATCAAGGGCTGTAATTCGTGGAGTTGACGTAGCCGTGTGTGGGCACCATGGCAATCGTGTTGGGCTGAATGTGGCCACTCCGATACGTTGCCATACAGGCTGACGCAATGGTCACGTATCTGAAAAGAAGAAAAACAACTTCATGAGCATAATTATTCTATAAGAACATAACTGTAAACATGATCATTATTGTACAAAATAAATTAGAAAATAACTTACTGGAATGGATCTACACCCGCCACATCCAAAAACTGGGCTCGAAATTCCAGGCAGCAACGACGAACAATATCCACGTCCGATCTATTAAAAGAAAAATGTTAAAAAAATACGAAATATAAAATATAAGAATAAAACAAAATATTAAATAAATAAAAATAAAGGAGGGAAAAATATACTTGCAGTAGGCCAGCATCTATGTTTGAAAATCAAATATGTCCCCCTTGTGTTCTTCGTACCAAGACATGAAAGCTTGCCGGGCTGATGTACTCATAGTATCTGGGCATTAATAGTGGGGCTCCGGTAGTGGTCAGACATAACTCTGGTTTTCTCGGAAGTTAAAGAGAAGGGGGAAGTAACCCTTTTTCAACTCGGTGAGACCGAAGCATCCCGGCAGCTTGGCCAACGCCATTGGTAGAAAATTTAACGAGTCTATGACCCGAATGTTTAGACTAGGGTGTCTTACACTCATGATCATAACCCGTTAGGGATCACTTCCGGCGCTGTACCTTGCTCCAGGAGCCAGGCCATCACGAAATGTCCGTCGAACCTGTAAGTAAAAAAATATTATCAGTATTGAAAAAGTAGTCGTGTAAACTCAATCGTGGAAACTATGGTATTTTTTAACTTACCCTTTCATGTTGTGTGTTACGGCGGTGTAGCCCTTATGCTGTGGGGTGAACAGCCAGGCACAGAAATCTCGACATGCCGTGTATCCCGAAAACACTTTTTCTGTGCCGTCGGCATACTGAGCCACCGCGAAAGTTACGAGATGTTCCCCCGAAGACTGGTCCGTTTCAAAGTCAAAGAAAATGAACTTGTCATCAGACTTCTTCGGAGCAATACGTCGCAAATAACAACGGTGCTCGGCAGCCACGACAAACTGGCCGCAAGACGGACATTTGGTGGTACCACACCTGTGAAGCTCTTTAGGGCACTTTTGGCGTTCAATCACTTGGCAGCATTCCCTGCACTGGTATACCTGTAACGACAGTTAATTTTTTTTAAACATAACAATTTTGAGAAAATTATATGATAAATAACTTTGTTCATTAAGATATATTTTCAAAACACTTATTCTATCGCAAAGGGAAAACTCTTGATTCCCAGGGACGGCTTTATGTGCTTCGAAGCAGGCATCGGAGGGGCAGAGACGGCCACAATCCTGGCATCGTTGGGGCACGCCGGGAAAGCAATCAGTCCTTAGGCATATAGGGCACGCATTGGCACATCGATGGCTTTTTCCGGGTGATCGTACGGCTTTTCACATGCTGTGCAATAATGGTTACTGCCGAAAAACCCTTTGAGGGACTTGATGACATCATAATGTCCATCGTGAAGCCACATATTGATCCGTTGGGGCCTCTCCCTTCTTTTATAGACCACCTAAAACACAGACAAAAATTTTCTCTTAAATTCCAAAAATCAAAGTAAAATCAGGTTTTAACATCTAATTACATACATAAACCAATCTAAAAATTCCCTGTGCATTTATAACAAGTTAACGAATTACGTACATGTATAAAAAAACTAAAGATTTCACCATGCGTTCAATTTTTACAAGTTATATTTTTTAACATCTAAACGAATTACATGCACAGAGTATAAAGTTAATCAAAAGTAAAAATTTTCACAACTTATATTTTTAACATCTAAAAAACTTTTCCTTAAATCGAATAACCTAAAACTTTGGATTTTTTACACCCTAAATTTTGGCATGCATGCATTTTATGCGTGAATATGCATAAATATAATCTTAAAAGTTAAAGTAGTCCAAAAATTAACTAGGCATATTTTTTAACGAAATATTAATATTTTGAATATTTAAACGAAGCAAACTATTTTAAAATAAATTCCAAATTCTATTATTGAATAACCTAACAAATTTAAACTTTTACACATTAACATAGAAACGAATTGTATACATACATAAAGTCATCATGCATTAAATGTTTAACATGAAAGTTTAACGAAATGTCATATACTATAACGCTAGTCATCTCAATTTTTCAGTCCGTTAAAAACTATTTTAAAAATTATTTATGTACCAAAAAAATAAATTTTATCATAAATAGAAAAAAACTAAAATCAAGTTACGATTTTAAAAAAGGCCCTAAAATGTAAGATCTCGTTTATAAACATAAAAAAACAAATTTGAAGACAGAAATATTTTAGTTGAGACAAAAATAATGACTTACCCGGTTCAAATTATCCGAAGAAAAAACTGCAATTTGAGTATCCAGGTGATCTTCAAATATGGCGATTTCAGTAAATGTGCAGGGGCCCAGAGGCACATCCGCAGCCATATGGAGTTCTTTAGCACGATTCAAGAGAGCTGGCCGACGACGATCTCACATGGCATTAATGGCAGTTGTGTCCTTGTTCAAATATGCCAAGGCATAAACAACCGCCTTAGCGCAACACAGTCCTTCCTCATCATAGGGAATGGCCAAAAGGTAGACCTGTTTTCTCAGTCTGTCCATGGAGATGTTGATGACTTTTCCTGATTTCGTTCCAGCACCCTACAGGTGCCGGACGAATCTAATCGTGATCACATCCACTGCAAATCCTGTATCCAATTCAATTTTATCCTTGGACTGCAGCACTTTCATAACGGCAGCCAAAATCTTTTCAACCATCAGAGTCAAAACTGACATCAGAGAAGTGCTGATAGGCTTGTCCAATCCTTCTGCCTGGATGCAGAACCGGATAAAATCCGAGGGGCTCAAATCGGCTGTTCTCTTGCAAATCAGTTGCTCAAACAATTTCCGGACAGTGTCCGGAATTCGTACCATCGGGACGCCATGTACATTCAAAGGCAGCCGTTCCATATCTATACTGGCCCGGAAAGTAATTTCCTCGGCTTGATACTTGTGGTTTCGGCGACGAGACTTTTCAGTGAGCACAATCGCCTCATCGATCTGAAAAGTAAAAATAAAAATTAGTTTTCGGTAAGAATCAAACATTTTCAGAAAAAGACATTCATGTAAATAGAAAAATACACACCGAACGTTCATCAGAACCAGCCATATACACAGGACCACGAGCTGATGAAGAAGACCAGGGGGTTTTCTAGAAAGATTTGCTCAACTTCATCTAATAACTATCAAAATAAAAGTGAATACATTCAAAATAAAATAAGCTCAAATGGTAAAATACATTTAAATAGAAATAAAATACGCTACGAAAATACGTGTAAAAACTTACATCGTCATCTGAATCACGGAAAGGACAATCGGGATCCTCAAATAACACCTAACAATTAAAAAATTTGAATAGCACATTCAAAAAAATTCTTGTTTAAAATTATTATCTAAAAATAAAGTAGAAGCAAAAAATGCATTTACATTAGATGCAGAATAACCTCGCTTGGCAGACATCGTGTAGAAAAACGAAATGGCGCAAAAGAAAATAACAAAAAGGCAAGAGAACGTTCACTCAGCAACAACCAGAGTAGAAATGATCGCAATTTCGATCGTCAACGCAAGCGAATATATAGACGGTGTACAAGAAAGAAATACGCTGATTGGCTGAAATAAGATAGATATTGTTAGCAAGAATCTGATTGGTTGTTAAGATTGTATACGGTTCGCCACGGCGGATGTAGAAAGTGTGAAGCGGTTTCGGCATGCTGCAACGTGAAAGAGGTGACGTTTGCATGTTTCTCCCCAGCCTAATGACGTCATGGTGATCTTCGCTCCAGACGGAATAGGTTTTGAAACATGAAAGTATAGCTTGGAGGTAAAGCGCCAGACTGCCACACGAAAGATAGCGAGTTCGCATTCCAACCATGGAGTTATTTTTAAAATTCAGGGAAAGTGATATTAAATTCATTAAAAATGGATTAAAATATAATGGAATCAATTAAAAATAATGGCAGATTAAATAATTAAAAAGAATGATTAAAAGGATTAAATAATTAAAAAGAATGATTAAAAGGATTAAATAATTAAACATATTAAAAATGATTAAATACTTAAAATAATAAAGGAAAATAATTGCTAAATAATAAAGTTGACGTCATTCCAAACACGTGGTTCATGAAATCGTTGCCACAAAAAATAAAAGCTTTGAAACATGTTATCGTTGCCACACCATAAAAACGAGACTCAACACGATTACGTCATCCAATCCGACAACGTCACTTCCGGATAAATCCAATATGAGGGCGACCTTTCCGGTTGTCACGTGATCCAAAATGGCGGAGACGACGCCAGGTTGCGTCAGCCATTGTTCTATTACGTCGTGGCGGCATCCTTTGACCGCACGAGTACCTGCGGTTACTACTGATGCTGCTAAAAGCAAGATTTTTTGTAGTTCGCAAGTTCGGGGAAAGTTTACTGTAAATATCATTTACTTGGAAAGACTTGACTGTACAATTCAAATGATTGTAAACTAGAAGTTAAAATTAAATTTGTCGAGAGGGATTGTAAACTATGTATAGCAACTCTGTGCGTTTTGATGTAAAATCAATCTGAACATTTTATTAGTTAAATATGTAAAAATGTTTGTACTGAAAGTAAATTTTATATGGTGAATGTAAAAGAGCCTTAAAGTTTATTTAAAAGAAATATTGCCTAGACTGTCTCGATTTTATTTTTACCTTTAGGAAGTTGGCTAGATGGTAGTGTTGTTTGTTTGAACGCAACATTTACATGCTCGCATCTTAACAGAACAAACTTCTGGAGAGCGTTGGGGGAATGAGTTAAAAGTATAAGTGAATGAAATCTGATAGATTGCCTAATAAATGTAATAAAATGAAAATTTTTCGCTCTCTGCATACAGAAATAAGACCTTTTCCTTCCAAATATATTGGAAGTATAACATAAATTGTCTTCACGAGTCAACTTAGTCAAGATGATGTATGTAGCTCTCTCTTGAAGCAAGAAAATTTGAAAACATAATTTACTTTATCTCAGTTTTAACTTAGGTTTAGATCGTATAATGTATCAATTTATTTTAAGCCATTTTAACCAGTTTCAATTAATTTTCAATTAAATAAAAAGCTCAAATGCCATTTATGTTGTGACAAAAGGGACGTCCTTTTTTGCGTATTGTAGGGTTTATATTTATTTTAACTAACATT